ATGTTTAATAATAAAAGATAAGCATCTTTTAAATCAAATTACTAATGGTTTTTATACGTGACATATGAATAAAATTAATTAAAATTTTTGATTTAATGTTACTTTTAACTTATAATATGATTAATTAATTTAAGAAGTATTTATTTGATTATCTTTTACTTTCGATCTTGATGATTATGTAAAATATCAACCATTGTTCTTTATGTAACTAAATGATTTATAGTTTTATGTTATTATAAATTATACATTATTATTTATAATTAAATTTAAAAATCATGTATTGTTATTAAAGAGTTATAAATACATCAAGATTTATAAAATACTAAAATATATTAGCAAGTTTTATTTTATTTGCAATTACACTACAACTAAACAAATTTGGTATCAATGCAAAAAAAAAAAAAAAAAAAAAAAACTAACACTTGTTGCGTGAGTTTAATATAAATGTAATGAGTATATATATATATATATATATATATATATATATATATATATATATATATATATATATATATATATATATATATATATATATATATATATATATATATATATATATATATATATATATATATATATATATATAGAGGTTCAGGTTCATTTGAGACCATTCTAATTTTGTGAGACCAAATCTAAAATAATTTTAAAATGCAAAATAAATGGAAAAATCCAAAAATTCTTTTTTTTTTAAATATTATTTTCGGAACTTGATATATATATATATATATATATATATATATATATATATATATATATATATATATATATATATATATATAATAAGTGAGTTAGTTAGATATTTGCTCAATATGAAGTTTATTTTAAAATCTCAACAAACTACTTATACTCTTTAATGATATATTTATTATGAACTATTTTATATTTAGCTTAAGGGTTTAGGTCATTTTTGATTACTTAACTTTTGGTTTTATGCTCATTTGGTCACTTAACTTTTTTTAAGTTTTAAAAGGCCATCAAACTTTTGGCTTTGTGTTCATTTAGTCACTTAACTTTTGTTTTGGTCACATTTAGTCAGCATATTTTTAAAATTGTGCTCATTTAGTCACTAATTTTTTTTTTTAAAGTTTAGTGACTAAATGAGCACAATTTTTAAAGTTAGGTGACTAAATGAACACAAATCTAAAAGTTAGGTGACTAAATATGACCAAACCAAAAGTTAAGTGACTAAATGAGTACAAAGTCAAAAGTTTGATGACCTTTTAAACTTAAAAATAGTTATGTGACCAAAAGAATATAAAACTAAAAGTTAAGTGACCAAAAATTGCCTAAACCCTTAGCTTAATTATCTATGTTAAAAATCACATTATGACCAATATAAATATATATATATATATATATATATATATATATATATATATATATATTTAATAATAAAATTATCAATTTCAATTTTTAAGTTTAATTCAGACTTTTAAAATGATATTATTAATAAAAATTGTAATCAATTAGGATGATATTATCTATGTTTTATTCCGGTAGAATCTAAACATTAATTAGGGAATATATATATATATATATATATATATATATATATATATATATATATATATATTCCCTAATTAATGTTTAGATTCTACCAAAATAAAACATAGATAATATCATCCTAATTGATTACAATTTTTATTAATAATATCATTTTAAAAGCATAGATAATATATATATATATATATATATATATATATATATATATATATATATATATATATATATTCCCTAATTAATGTTTACATTCTATCAGAATAAAACATAGATAATAAACAAATGGAGCGTTTCTATCATTTTTTTTTTCACAAATATGTTTTCTATAAATTAAAAGGACTATTTTTGTAATTTATTTTTATATAGGGATAAACCCCGCCAATATATGAAAGTCTTAAACACATGAACTGTTTCTATAAAAACAATATGTATATGGATATTTTTCAATAAATCACAGAGATAATTTTTATAATTATTTTCTACATAAAGATCAAACCTTACAATATATATGAAACTATTGTGGATAAAATATAAAATTTAAAAGTATTATGGATAAAATATGAAATGTAAAAAATGTACTAATTCAACTTCTTAAGTTTGAATATTATATTACTATTAATAAAAATCTACTCTAATAAATGAATGTTTTTTTTATCACTTATCACATTCTCATTTAATTTTTCAAATGTTATTTTATGGTTAATTTGATTTTTTTTTTTTTTCACATTTCATTTTATAAGTTTTTGTATTTTTTAAATTCCATATAACATATTAATATAATAATTGCAATAAATGTAGTAATAAATGTATATTAATCTTTTGGTTTCAAAATTAATTTGTTTGTTTTTTATTTAAAGTATTTATTTAAATTTAAATGATAAAAAACATTTTCATCATAATAATTCATTATTTTTCTTATTTTCTTATAAATTCAAAGTTTCTCAAATATTTAAACTTTTATATTTAATTTTTTTTTTAATTAACTTATGTAATACACGAGTCTCACAACTAGTTATAATTAAGTACGATGATGTTACATGCTTTGTAATTGTCATAATCTATAAATTTTCTATTATCTAGAGATTATCTTTGTATTTTTTTAAACACGTGAACTGTTTCTATAAAAAAATCTACATATGGATGTGTTATGTAAACTATGAGGGATAGTTTTTATAATATTTTTTCTACAAAAAGGATAAAACCTATCAACATATAAAAGTTTTAAATACATAACCTTTTCTATAAAAGCAATCTCTGCACATGGCATTTATTTTATAAACCGTTTCTATATGCATATTGTATTTTTCTATAAATTAATCTTACATACCTTTTTTAATCTTCTTTTTTAATAAATGAAAGTTTTTTTGCCACATATCAATCTCTAATGAGTTTTGACACTTATCATTTTGTGATATTTTTTAAATAAATAATATTCACATGTCAATTTATGGTTTTCTCTATTTTTTAAAATTAAAAAACCACATCATCTTATACTTATTTATGTAAAGTATCAAATGTAATAAATATTATAATAAATTACAATTAATATGTTTATTCATTTCTTATTTCAAAATTTTATTTAAAAAAAATACTTATTATTTACATTTTAATATTTTATTTTTTTAATCAATCCGTATAATACACGAGTTTTACACCTAGTCATCTTTAATAAATTAATGTTTTTTTGCTACATGTCAATCTCTAATGAGTTTTGACAATTGTCATTTTATGATATTTTTTAAATAAATAATATCCACATGCCAATTTATGGTTTTTTTTTTTAATTTTGAAAATTAAAAAGTCACATAATCTTATATTTATATATGTAAAGTAATAAATATTATAATAAATTACAACTAATATGTTTCATCATTTCTTATTTTAAAATTTTTATTTAAAAAAAATACTTATTATTTACATTTTAATATTTTATTTTCTTTAATCAACCCATATAATACATGGGTTTTACACCTAGTATATTATATAGAAAAAAAACTAAACCTACGAATACGAAAATATATGGGTTTCATTGACAAAATTTAAAATGTAAAAATTTTAGACAAATTTGCAAAATGGTCCCTGTGGTATGCATTTTTTTGGGGTTTTAATCCAAACCACGACTTTTTTGGCTTCGTGGTCCTTCTGGACTAGTTTTTATGTGAAAATGGTCTCTCCGAAAATTGAAATGACTAAATTGCCCTCTTAATATATTTTGTATATTTTAGCTATTTAATTTAATGTTTTATTGATAATAAAATGGGGCCCACACCCTATTTTCTCTCTCTTTCTCTCTCCCTCTCTCTCTCTCTCTCTCTCGATCACACAATCGTTTTTCTTATACTTGAAAAATCTTCAACACATACACACATAAAATTTGGAAAATGATTCACATGGCTTCATAATTTTGGGTAGGATTTATTTTTTGTTTTTGGAAATCAATTCACATGTTCACATGGAAATTAATTCACAGGTTTTCACTTTAACACAAACTAACACACACATGAACAATCAAAAGGCGGTACATCTTCATCTGATCAGGGGAAGAGGAAACGAATCGACAACAACGATGGGATCGAAGTAGCCGATGAAATCGTGAGGATGGGGGAACGTCCATCTCCGACAACGATTCACGAAGGAAAAGAGGCGAAGGCAACGTCAATAGTCTGTGGTGGTGAGGGAAGCTGCTCCAACCCTTGACTGTTTTTCTGATCCAACGAAAATCACGAACGAAAATAGCAGAAGGAGCGGCGATTCTCAGGTGGTGCTTGGGCTGTTCCGATCGACAAGAAGGGGGAGGAGTCGAGTCCTCGTTGTCGGCAACAAATAGGGGGGTGAGGAAAGGCTGTAATGACAGACGATTCCAGTGGGGCGTCGGAGGTGCTTGCTCGACGAAAGGAAGAGACGGGGGTAGAGGTGGCAGTTGGCATCTCCGATGAGCCCTTTGTGGCTTGTTCTTCGTCTTTGGCAGCTTTCGGAGCGAATGAGAAAGTATTTGTGTAGAAGAGGGTGTTAGGGTTATTACTTGACAAGAGAAAGAGATGGAGGAGGGTTGTGGAGGGCTGTTGCACTTTTCCAACAACCGGTTTCCACCTCCGGTGGTGGTTCAACGAGAGAGAGTCAGAGAGAGAGAGAGAGAGAGAGAGAGGCCCTCTCTTTATTTATTAATGATCAAAATAGATAAATATATATTAAATAAAAAATGAAAGAAAAATAAAAAATAAATACATGAGGGGCATTAAAGTCATTTCAGTTTACCAATGGATTAAATCCGCAACAAAAACTAGCTCAAAAAGACCATTAATCTAAAAAATCGGGGATTGGATTAAAACCCAAAAAAATAAATACTACATGGACCATTTTTACAATTTTGTTAAAATATTATAGAAAAGTATGAAATGTAAAGCCTATAATGGTCATTTGGCAATTCAAATTAGTATATAAAATCATAAAATAATACTTATAAAAAATGTAACTAATTTAATATTTGTATTTATGCCCAAAACGTATTTCCATACTCGCATAATACAGTTCCTATATTCACTAGGAGAAGAAGCTCCAATGATGAAGATGAATGGCGGGCAAAAGGAGAAAATTATAAACCGTTGGGAGGTTCCCTTCCAAGACAAGTGGTTGGGAACGAGCTTCGGCCTTCTCTCTCCTTCCCTTCTTTCTGTTAGCATGAACCTACACACACTCAAACACACAAAAATATTCATAAACAAAATAAGGGGAACAATCAAAAGAAAGAGGAGAAAGTGTTCATTTTACTGTATTCCATTCCCTCCATGCCTCTGTTTCTCTCACTGTAACTCCCTTTGTCCTTCCATGGACCCATTGATGAATTTGGACGAGGCGTAGAAGAATTTTAACGAGTTATTTGATCTGTAATCAAAAGGGGTGCAAGTATTTCGGGGTATATACTTAAATATTGTTAACAATGGCGGAATCAGGAGATGCAGATAATACGACGTCTACAGGCGAAGAGGTTGATTTCGTATGCATGGTGGACGAAGACGATCGTAAGTACCTTTACCTGTCTCATCATGATAATTCAAATAATTAACAAATTTGATGTTTATGTAATTCTTTTTAATCCAAATTTTCTGTCTCTGGTCGTTGGTTAATGCATATACGATGATAGACACCAATCTCATTCGTGTTGGTATTTTGATTTTGTTAAAAAATAACGAATATACATAAGACACATTGTTATTTGTTAGTGCACTCTATGTGTTTGTGTTTATGCCTGAGAGAAAGATGAATGGTATGAATTACAGCAACAGGCAGATATGATGCAGCAATGTGGCTAAGAAAGAGAGTAGGTGTAGTGGCTGCAAGAGATTTGCCAGCTGAGCCTTCAGAAGAAGATTGTAGGCAAGGATTAAGAAGTGGGATGATCCTTTGCAATGTTCTTAACAAGATTCAACCTGGTTCTGTTCCTAAAGTAAGCTTCTTTTTTCACTTGTTTACCTTTCTTTTCACCTTAAATTTCCCCTTTTAAAATTGGCTCAAATGTAGGTTGTGAATGCACCTTCACCTGTCTTCACTACACCAGATTCAGCAGCTTTGGCTGCCTACCTTGAAAATATTAAGAATTTCCTTAAAGCCATAGAAACTATTGGCCTTCCAACTTTTGAACCATCTGATTTAGAACAGGTACTTGTCCTTCTTCAGCTTTATAAACTATCCATTGTGTTATATTGAATATTCTCTCTCTCTCTCTTTCTCTTTTTTCTAATAAATATATGTATCTAGGGGGGATATTTTTCAAGAGTGGTGAACACTGTATTGGCCATGAGAGCATATAATGATTGGAAAGCAAAAAGTGCAAATGCATCAAGAAAATTTTCATGGAGTTCACCAAGTGGGAAATTTCTTCAAAGTAAAGAACCAGCTAAAGGTGGTACTGGTGAATATTCAACTGATCAATATGATGATGGAAGTGATCCTGGCGATGAGGTTTTTCTTTTTACTAAATTCAAATAGTATTATGAAGTAAGGGTATTCTTGGGAATCTTTTAATAATTTGAGCGTATAATTTGCAGAGTGATCTTGGGCCTCTTTTCAAGATTGTTTCTGATCTTCTTATGGATAGAGAGGAAGAAGACATTCCTATTGTGAGTTATCTTCTACTTCGTCATGTAATGTAGCTACTACCACTAGTTTTTTGATCTTGAAATTGACTAGAAAACATTTTTGTACGATAGATTGTTGAGAACATATTGAATAAACTGAAAGAGGAATTCGAAAAGAGATTGGCAAAAGAAACAAGAAAACTAAATGGAGAAGATGATGAGACAAACAGTGATGAAGATGATTTATCTGGTGGTGAGTCTTCAAGTCCTGATTATGAAGCTGTGAAGGAGCAAGAACGCATAAATAGAGAAAAAGAAATGCTAGAACTACTAAAAGAAAAGGCTAGAAGGCAACTGGAGGAAGAGGAGGCAGAAAGAGCTGCAAAAGAGCAAGAACGTATCAATAGAGAAAGGGAATTACTTGAGCAACAAGAAAAGGCTAGAAGGGAAGAGGAGGAAAGAGTTGCAAGGGAGAAAGAACGCATCAAAAGAGAAAAAGAAAGAGAGTTACTTGAACAACAAGAAAAGGCTAGAAAGCAAGCGGAGGCTGAGAAAGCTGCAGAGTTAGCAGGGATCGAAAGACAAAAAGAACTTTTAGCAGCAAAAGCAAAAGCTAAAGAAGAGAAAAAAGCTGCAAAAGCAAAGGCTAAAGAGGAGAAAAAAGCTGCAAAAGCAAAAGCTAAAGAGGAAAAGAGAGCTAAAAAGGAGCAAGAACGTATGAATAAAGAACAAGATAAAGAAAAAGCTAAAGAGGAGAAGAAAGCTGCAAAAGAGCAAGAACGGTTGAATAAAGAAAAAGAAAAAGAAGAGGCGAAAAAGAAAAGGGAAGAGGATAAAGCTGCAAAAGAGAAAGAACGGGCGAAGAGAGAGATGGAAAAAGAGAAGGCTAAAAAGCAGGCGGAAGCCAACCGAGCTGCAAAGGAGCAAGAACGGATCAAAAGAGAGAAGGAGTTACTTGCATTACAAGAAAAGGCAAAACAAGGGGAACAACTAAGCTTAGAAAGAGAAAAAGAGTTGCTTGCACTACAAGAAAAAGCTAGAAAGGAAGAGGAAAGGGAAAGGATCGAGGAGGAGAAAAGGGCTAGGGAAGAGGAGGAAAGGGAAAGACAAGAAGAGGAAGAAAGGGCAAGATTGGAAGAAATTGAAAGATTAGAAGAGGAAGAAAGGCTTAGAGAAAAAGAGGAAAGGGAAAGACAAGAGGAGGAAGAAAGGTTAAGAGAACAAGAGGAAAAGGAAAAACTTGAGGAGGAAGAAAGGGCTAGAAACGAGGAAGAAAAGGAAAGACTCGAGGAAGAAGAAAGGAAACGAAAAGAGGTGGAAAGAGCAAAACAAGAAGAGGAGGAGGAAAGGTTGAGAAAGAAAGAAGAGGAAAGGGCAGAAAAGGAAAAAGAACGCCTTGAAAAGGAGGAAGAATTAAGAGAACAAGAACAAAGGGCAAGACAACAAGAGGAATATAGAAAAAGAATGGAACAATATAACAGATTAAACGCCAATACTACAAAACGAAAGGGCCTAATCGAACGCCAAGATAAAGACTTACAAGTAACCTCTTTAACATCAAAATCATTTTCACACACACACACACACACCATAAAAAAACACTACAAAATATAATTTTACTGATTAGTAACTTAAATCAAACACAATGCTTCATCAATAACAGTATACAAGAAGGTTCTAATAATTTTTTTAATGTCATAAAGGAATTAAGAAGCACGATTTCTACTGCAAAAACCGAGGTGCATTCATGGAAAACAGCCTGTCAAGAGGAGGCTGAGAATCTAGGTACTACCAACATAATATTTATAATTTTATACAAACTAAATAAATTCTATGAAGAATCTTGATTGAAAAAAGAAGGATTGTTTATGGTTATACAGGTGGCAATGTGCGAACTTTATGTCAAGCTGCAGCAGGATACAAGAAGGTTCTAGAAGAAAACAGAAAGCTATACAATCAAGTACAAGACTTAAAAGGAAGCATAAGAGTGTATTGTAGAATAAGACCCTCTTTACCTGGACAAGAGAATCATCCCACAAGTATAGACTACACAGATGAAGAAACAGTAACAATTATCACTCCTGCAAAATCTGGAAAAGAGGGTCGAAAAGCGTCAATGTTTAATAAAGTTTTTGGTCCTTCATCAACTCAAGGTCATTTTTTTTTTTTTCTCAAGCTTTCATTTTTATCAAGAATCTCAAAAAACTTATTGCTTTCTTTTTTCTTTCATATGTTGATGTTTACAGAAGAAGTATTCTCAGACACCCAACCATTGATACGTTCTGTTCTTGATGGATTCAATGTGTGTTTATTTGCATATGGTCCAACAAGTTCTGGAAAAACCTACACATTGGTAAGAAATTCAAATTCTTGTGAGAACATTTGATTTAAAGTTGAAAAATCACAATGTAATATTGATTTGTGTTTACTTTTAGACTGGACCCGATAACCTTGATGAAGAAACAATGGGTGTAAACCTAAGGGCATTAAATGATCTTTTCCTTATCTCAGAAGAGAGGAAGGACCTCACTTCCTACACCATTTCTATCAATATTCTTGAAATTTACAATGATGAAATTCGAGATCTCCTTGTCACTGATGGAAGTAACAAGATATATCCTTTTGTTACTACATATTTTAAATTTTTTTTTTTTTTTTTTGTAGTGTATTGTTTTGTCTTAACAAATGCTTACTGTAGAAATCAGTAGCAGTAAAAAGGGGACAAATGTACCTGATGCAACTCTTGTAGAAGTCACATCAACAGATGATGTTATAAACCAAATAAATGTCTGTAAAAAAAATCGTGCTGGAAATGATCGTAGTAGTCGGGCCCACAGGTGAACATTTTATTAATCTTGTTGTATGTTGTATATATATAAAGGAGGAAATTAATGTAAATATTTTTTTTTTTTTTTTTTTGTAGTTTCCTTACAGTTCATGTTGTTGGAAAAGACAACACATCAGGGTCAATAGTGAGAGGGTGTATGCATTTAGTTGACCTTGCAGGAAGTGAAAAGCTTGAAAATTCAGATGATGAGTCAACACATATAAGCAAATCACTGTCTGCTTTAGGAGATACCTTGGTAGCTCTTGCTACTAAAGCTAAAACTGTTCCTTTCAAGTCTTGTAAACTCACACAGCTGCTCCAAGATGTTCTTGGTATGTTAATTTACTATTCTACCCTCTCAAATTTTTCCCAAAATAAAATACCAATCTACTCTCATTCATTTGTAGGAGCACAAGCCAAGATTTTAATATTTGTTCATGTGCATCCTGATGCTGATGAGGTTGGAGAAACACTCAGTACTTTTAAATTTATTGAAAGGTTTTCAACAGTGGAGGGTGGATGTGGTAAATCTGCAGAGACAAGGGAGTTAAAAGAACAAGTTGCTTATTACAAAGCTGCTTTAGCCAAGAGAGAAGCAGCAGGAGACTTATTGCCACAAGAGGCAAGTAACATCCTTTTTTTTTTGAGTAAATTACACGAATGGTCCCTATGGTTTGGGGTAATTTGCGTGCTTGGTCCCTAACTTATTTTTTTAACTCGGAAGGTCCCTATGGTTTGTTTTTGTTACGCATTTGGTCCCTACTGTTTATTTTTGTTACGCATTTTGTCCCTGTCTTATCTAAAAAGACTATTATTTAAAGAGGAAAAAATAATGGGGTAGGTAAGGTAAGGTGAGGGGGTGGGATTAGGGGTGTGTTTATTTAGATAATTTAAAAAAATCAAGGGCATAATAGTCTTTTTAGGTAAGATAGGGACCAACCGCGTAACAAAAACAAACAGTAGGGACCTTCCGAGTTAAGAAAATAAGTTAGGGACCAAACGCGCAAATTACCCTAAACCATAGGGACCATTCGTGTAATTTACTCTTTTTTTTTCAAGAGTAAATTATTGAAATTATCCCTGTGGTTTGGTCAAAATTGCACGTTTGGTCCCTAATTTTTTTTTTGCACTCGGATCGTCCCTGTGGTTTGCTTTTGTTGTGTTTTTCGTCCCTATGGTTTGGTAAAATTTGCATGTTTGGTCCCTAACTTTATGTAAGGGACGAAAAATGCAACAAAATCAAACCACAGAGACAAAAAACGCAACAAAATCAAACCACAGGGACGATCCGAGTGCAAAAAATAAATTAGGGACCAAACGTGCAATTTTGACCTAACCATAGGGACGATTTCAGTAATTTACTCTTTTTTCAATATATTCATATTATCAAACAATGACTATATTTAACATAATTAACATATTTATTATTTAAAAACAGTATAATTGAGTAAATTACAAAAATGGTCCTTGTGGCTTTTGAAATCTACAGTGTATAGTCCAAATTGAAACCATTTTCAAATTTGGTCTTTATTTCAAAGTTTCTTATCTATTTTATTCGATGGAAGTTCGAAATAAGGACCAAAACTGAAAAATGTTTTATTTTTGGACTAGACACGGTAAAAATCAGAAAGTACAGGGACCATTTTTGTGATTTACTAAATAGATCCAGAAGTCATTCATATTGTTGTAAGATGTAACACAGTTTTCACACAATTAACAGATTTAAAAATTAAAAAAAAAAAATAATAATTATTTTGCATATGGATGCAGGCATCAGTGAGTTCACCAAGAGCTGGGAAAGAATCAGCTGATGCTCCTGCAGAAGAGGAACCAAAGGCTGCAGCTGCAAAGGCAGCGCCAGCAGCAGCACCAGCCAAGTATGATTATATTTATAATATTAACTCATTTTCAGGTCAAAGTCAAAGTCAAAATGTTGACTTTTGTTTTTTTGTTTTTTAATTAGGAGTACTGCAAGTCCAGCTGCAAAGAAACCTGCAGCATCAGCGAAGCCGGCGGCAAAGCCAGCTGCAAAGCCGGCACCAAAGAAAAAGTGAGCATCTATGGTGAGTGCTATTTTTTATTTTTATTTGATTTTATTATGTTTGTTTAATTGTTTGCGAGATATAATTATAATAAGTGTCTGAATTAGCGGATGCTGCTTTCCTTTTCTGTACAAATGTTGTGAACATTAGGAAACCAATGAAGAATGGATGACATATACCTGTTTGGTTCTATTTTTTGGTGTTAATATTGTATTTTAAAAATATAATAAATAATAAGTTTTGTCAAAAAATTCATGTTGCACGATAATTTTTTGATGCTGATTCGTCGGGTATGGAAACATTTTGCAAAGTTGGATGAGGCCTTGCACCTTTGGCCAATGTATCATTAACAGTTTAACACGTCATTTTGCAAATTTGATGATGAAAGAAACTTCGAAGGAATTTTTTAATCCCCAATTCAATTCTAAGGAAATCTGTCCTAAATCCTTTAGTTTCATGTTCCTTGGCTACTACAATATCGTGCACATATAGAGTTAAAACAGACTCCCCATGAGGCTGAATGCTTGATAAAAAAGGTGTCATCTCCTTGGTAAACCATTTAAACCAAACATACAGAGATTGTTTTGTGACACAACGTATTTTTTAATAGAAAAACCTTGATCTTTTCAACCCACCAAATCTCAATGGAACGCTCATCTAAATATCCTCTTTAGTTCTCCATGGAGGAATACATTTTCACATCATACTATTGCAACCAAGTACATCAAAATCCTCCGTGTATTAATCTTTTCTGCAAGAGCACATTTATTGATAATCTACTCCATATCTTTGTGTGCATCATTTGCACATTTATTGATAATCTACTCCACATCTTTGTGTGCATCATTTTGCCACTAATATCCCCTTGATGCGACCCATCTTCATTCAATTTTACTATATACACCAATTTGTAACCCACAACTTTTATGCTTAAAAATTATTTTAGAATGACCTTGTCAATAATATATGAAGTAGCACAAACTGAATATTTATACAAATTTGTTTCTTGATAAATATTTACAACTCTCGCAATTAATTGGAATTTAATATCTCATGAATATAATAATTTTCAATGTTAGTATCTAAATAATATCATAAGGTATACTTTTTAACATCATATTCATCTTTTTGGACTTAAAGGGTTTTTGGTATAAAAGATGTATATAACATGTAATAAGAAAGAATGCAAAACACTTTTTCTTCCTCTTCTTTCTAGCCAAAACTGTAAGTAAGCATGGGGGTCAAAGTTTTGTCATTCTTGCTTATTATATCAGTCATGTCATGCTTTAGAATCATGCTTGATTATAATCATTAAGCATGACTCTTAAAATGTTAAGACATAACGGATAATAGCTTGTGAATAAAGGCTTTCATGCATGGATTTTTTTCTCTAGTGAAAACCGTTCACCTCTCTCTCATTCTTTTTTTCTCTCTAAAGTGTCAGAACATAAGGAAAATGTTTAATAATTACACTTTCCTTTAGGATAAAAAAAATGGTTTTGTGCTTAAAGGCTTTAGAGTTTTCATATTGCAAGTTATGGACTAGCATCCAAGGTCCTACTTATATGTCGGTGGATATCTCTAGATGAGCTCTCTTTTGTATTCTTGTTATCTCCTTCGATTTCCATCATCCCAAGACGATTCAAAGTCTTCAAATGTTGTTAAATTTTGAACCACCTATGGTTGTGATTAAATATTTCATGTCCATGCAAAATGATCATTGGTGGGTATAAAGTAGTTTTATATTATTACAATTTTATAATGCTTCCATTGCCTATTTTGTGTTTTTTGAAACCGAAATTTTGAATAAATCCTAACAATGTCAACCTTCCTGAGCCCCATTTTTCTTAAATGCATTCATATCTACTCCTGCAACAAGTCTATATTCTTTCTTTAGACAGTGAGATTGGAACATGAGTTGTATTTGAGATGAAAGAAAAATTATGACTCAGAGAAAACTTCTCCGAGGACAAAAGTGAGATAATGGGTATACATGTCTTTTGGTGCATTATGGAGTCCTTTTCCTTCCAATGGTAAGAATGTTTGGATCTTTATGAGGCCTAAGAGAATAGGACAAGATGACTTAAGGCTGACAAGTAGTGAACTATTGTAGTGTAGAATTGAGATTTCATTCACTCATTGTTACTTCATTCTTGGAGTTTGGTTTTCAATTTCTTGCCTTTTAGTAACAAAGGATGTCATTTTTCCTTGTATAAACTTGGCGAAATCATGAGAAGTTAGAAATTTTAGCACCTCCAACCAACCCATCTGGATTTGAATCATACTCATTCTTAGAATTGGATCTATAGTGTTGGAAGGCCACTCATTATGTTTAAGTGTAATAACTCTTCCTAAAGACAAGAATTGGTATATATGGTTTATTTTCAACAAATATAACATCACCTAAGATATAGAGTTTTCTAGTACGTGGATGATAACATTTGTAACCTTCTCATAGAGTAGGCATGAAGGGTAGTATATGTGGAATAATAAATAACCTAATTAAGAACAACTAATATAAACAACGTTATTTAAAGTAATGAAGAGTGGGAACAAAATATGCGAGAAAACCTATTATATTGACAATATTTAGATCAACTACAACATACTTATTATAATAGAAACATAGAATACATATTTATAGCCGTAACAAGTAGGGTTGACAGGGAACACAAAAAGTAGTCTCAATGTTAGTACATTCTAATTTTTATAGATATGATAGATCTGTATAATGATTTAAGATATGTATTGATCTTGTCCCTAATATCCTGACGAAAGTCAACTGATATGCTCCATAGAGGGCATGTTGTTACTCTGTAGCTTTTACTCTTTGGAGTCTTCAACATTTTGGACCTTGGAGTAACCAATTTAACATTTTGTGACACCCCTCTTTTTTTATTTAATATTTAAATCTTTAAAAAACCATTTTCAATTATTTTAAAATCATCGGTTGCATAAATATGGTCCCCTACTCACTGTTCATAAAGATTAACAATTTCAATTACTTAGAGGGTGTATGATCGATTAACAAGTTTGATTACTAAGAAATCATGAAATATCAAGTACAAATGAATTAAAGGTAAGATTGAGAATGTAAATAATTTTTTGTTTATTTCATTGAGAGTATGAAGCTCGATTACATCATAATCATGTAAGAACATGCAAAAGACTTCCTCTCCTATCTAACTAACATCCCTATTTATAGCAGAACTATAAGGGAGTCGGTTAGATGATAACCAGTAAGGTTAAGACACCTAAGTAAAGACATGTGACACAAACAGTTGAGCATTGTCACTATGAAACCTTAAGTGAACAAATTCTGAAACTAACATTCATTCGGAACCACTATTACATTGAAGACAAAATATTACAATTACACATTTCGCAAAAGACTAAGACATAACATATTACATTTTCAGCAAAAATCTATGGAGCGTAGGCAAGCAAGATAATACGAACACTAATCCGCTATTTCAACACTTCAGATATACTATGTTGCTCTTCCTTTGAGCCGTTCTTGCATAATTTGATCTTTGTAAGGATTTCAATTAAAGTTTCAATTTTGTAACAATGTTTGTCTTATATATAAAACATTTGATTCTTATACTTTCTGTTCATATGGTTTTATACACAACTCCCTATGGTTCACTCTGAATCAGACCATCCTTTTAATTCTAAATATCATCAGGTTGATCACATGGACCGATAGAAGGTGTTATCTTTAACAATCCTTCCATTTCAACATCCATCTTTCTAATTTCAAGAAAATAGAATCTTATCATTCTTTTTAGATGGGAGATCTGATTCACACACTTTGTTTTATCCATGGCAAGAGCAACTAACAACAAAAATCAAATCATGAAGATTCATAATAGGAAGACCAGAAAACAAAAACTGGACTTCTTCATGATCACTTCCTCTCAAATCTATGAACTTATAATTGATGGTGAAATCATTCAAGTAGCCTTTAGATTGACAATCAATAATCGTAGAAATTTTCTTCAGACTCTAGACATCCTATTGTGGTCTTGATTGAGAAGAATAAAACTCAAGGATTTTTGTTTAATACACCATCTGTCAAAAAAACTTTATGTGTGTTAGGAAAACATCTCCATAAAAATGCTCTCATAGAAAGTGGAAAATCAAGTTGACAATCATCATTATTTCCGATTGCAAAAGAGCTTTTTGGATTTAACTAGAATTTATCAACATTATTGATTGCCAAATCTTTGATTCTTTTCACCGTCCACCTTGGCCATAAAGCTTCCATAGAGAGTCTAGCAACTTCTATATCTCTTTCATCTGCTACCCATATTCTTTCCTCAATATCACAATCTCGCAGTTTCTCCAACTCTTCATCAGATTTTGATTTATCAACAACATTAACTTCTGGTGCACCTGAACCCAAATCATTTCCAAATCCAGTAGCTCGAAGAGGAATAACATTCTTCAGTTTCTTGGAAAGAGGTTGAAAACCAACAAAAAACCTTTTTATATGTAGAAGATTTAGAAACCATCAGAGGAACAACATATGGATTAACAATCTGAGTAATAGTCTTAGGGATATTGATACCTTCTCCCATTTTTGAACTAGCCTCGCTAGTCCAAACATAACCATAAATAGAAAGATGATTGAACAGAGATTGGAGCTTATTATCTAGCAAGTTTGATATATAATCATTATAAGGGGTATCCTTAACTTTAACAATCTTTGTAAGACATTGATTAATTTCAAAATTTCAAGCTTTGACCAAGACAAGCTCATCATCCTTCTCTGCGATATCTTGATTCAGAAAATAAATTTCCTACTTGAGCATTTCCACCTTCACATTTGATCTTTCAATTTGAGAGGCCATTGCTGCTTTGGAATCAAAAGTTTGAGCTAAAGCATGAAATGTATTGGTGAAATTTGCAATATGAACCAAATTATCATTCAAGATAAGTCTTCTAAGCTCTTTGCATTCTACGATATTAATTTTTCAATTTCTGAAACCATGTTGTATTTTTTGGAAAACAATTGTTTAACATTTGCTTTGTGGTTAGAGATCATTTTGGTGAAGGCAGAAGAAGAAAAAGATTCACCGTGTCGAACCAACATATTTAGTTTTCGATTCAAATACCTATATTATTTCCTTGTCAAAGGCAAAAATTCATTCTCTGGTTCAGATTCAC